CCCTTGACGGTCCTCGTTGACCTCTGTGGTTCCATTGAGCTCCTCTACCCTGGTTGTATTGAGCTCCTTTACTCTGGTTATATTGAGCTCCTCTACTCTGGTTGTATTGAGCTCCTCTTCCTTGATCTGCTTGCTGTGCTTGCCAGCAGTCACGCGTGTAATGTCCAGGTTTTCCACATTGGTGGCAATTTCCTTTTGTATTTGCAGTAAAAGTGCTTACGTTAGCTTTCTTTTCGTTTTCACTTTTGTTCATGTTTTTTTCCTTAATTTTTGTTTTCACATATTCAACAGTTCTTTGCTCGTCAGGTACTAAATCAATATAATCACCAATATAACAGTAGCTTGGTGGTAGAGCTTTAATTAAATATCTCATCTTTTCTTCTTCTGTTAGTTGTCCACCAGCTGATTTCAACTCATTACATGCTCTTTCAAAGTCAACAAAGAATTCTTCCACAGTATTGTAGTTTTTGAGTTTGACATCTTCTAATTTTCCTCTGTTTATTATTTGTAGAGACGTTGATTTGGATGAATACATTTTTTCAAATCTCGATATCATCTCAAAAGTCGTTTCACATTCACTAATGTATTCTAATTGCTTATCTGACGTAGCACTAATTAAAATTGTTTTTGCTTTTAGATCACTTCTTCTCCAAGCTTCTTCATTGTCAGTAGCAGCTTTTTTTCTTTTTGCAGGTTCTTGACAATCTTTATACTCCAGAATATTCATGAGTCGGAATTTCCAACTTGCAAAATTTATTCCATCAAACACTGGGATGCTTATGTCGTCTATTTTTGCTTGCCTAGCCATTTCTTCTATTTCATTTATTCTTAAATTATTGTCAATTTCAATTTTCGGAATTGAAGTTTCTTTCTGTTTCTTAAGAAAACCTCTTCTTAAAGAAAATTTCAGTTTTCTGTGCTTGGTTTTATGTTTTGAATCTTACTAAACGTTTTAACGTCGTTTTCCATTCGTCGAACACGTGCTCATCTAACCTTTACTTTGAACACCACGTGTACTCTTGATCCACGTGCATCGACTGCTTACACAACTTTTACCCACACGCTTTTTCATTTCCAGCACCCTAATTACTTTTAGTTTTATTTATTGACTGTATTTATTTTTATTTACTTCGATTTTGCGTTTCTACGAGCCACTTAAATTTTCTGGAACCAACCACGCTCTGCTACCATGTTGGAACTATATCTAATTTTAATTAAATAGTACATAGACGCATACAACATAGAAAAACCATAGAGTACATATTCAAGAGATCAGATATCTAATCTAAAATATTTAAACTTGTTTCTTCTGTAATATATATACTTGTGTAAATTCGAATTTAACTTGAACTCATTCTGTTGAAATATTCACCTATTACAACAAGAACATAGTCGTCCCATTTTCGGGTTGAAAATATATTCAAAAGCTACCGAATGGTCTTTGACGTATAAAATATTAGTAATATTTGGAGCTTGGTAGTCCATTATATCTATAAATGTAATTGAAGATTATTGTATTATTATAAGATGTTAGTAATATTTGAATCTTTTATTGTTTATGCTTACTCTTTTTCTATTATTTATCTTTTTTTTGAATTTTCTTTTCTTTTTTTTCTGAAGATTTAAAAATAGCGTCGTTTCCGTACACTTGCTCCTTTCGGCGTTCTTTTGCAATATGGCGGTAGGTTTGAAATTCTGTATGTGCGCATGCGCATGTTTCGAAACTATAGATTGCACTATCGACTTTTATTCTTGATTTGTTTCGCTGATTGGGCGGTAGGCCCTCTTTAGTCTATCCTTATGAACAACCCTAGTCTTTTTGGGACCTATTTGTAATTCTATATTATTTTTTTCTATGTTTGTTAAAACAGTGTATGGCCCAGTGTATTCTTTTTGTAATTTACTTTTTCTTGGTGGATTTAAAAGCATGACTTCTTCTCCTGTTTCATAATTTACTGGACGTATTTTTCTATCGTAGTAATACTTCTGTCTATATTTTGATTGTTCTAAATTTGTTTTTGCAACTTGTCTAATTTTATGTAAATTTTGTAATAATTTGTCTATGGAGTCAGGGTATGTATCGAAACTGTCTGATGGTGCAAATTTTGATGGTAATCTCGCCTTTTTTCCATAAACTAATTACTAAAAGTATAGTTCTACCTCTTTGAACTGTTTTAAAGCTCTTCTTAATCTTTTCAGTCTCTCTCGTCTTCCTGCGCGTCGCACCATTATTGCTTTTAAGTAAATTGAATATGGCGGTATCTGTGGAGCGTCGCTTTCTATAGCTTTCTCTGTCGCTCATTGTTTCTATCTCTTTCTATCTTTTTTATGTTAATATGGCGGACTTGCGAGTCTGCGCAATAATAGATCGAACGAACTGAATGTGGAAGATTCGAAATAAATGAATTCGTATGTTTAGAACAATGAATGATTATATATATATATTAAATAATTAATTAATTTTTTTTTTTTACAAAAGAGAGAAAAAAGAAAACATGAACTAATACTAATTGTGAGTAACAACTCTATATTCCCCATTTTGCATAATAACATTTCTTAGTGGAAAAATATTGGGGTCTGTTGATAATAAGTAACAAGTTTATTAAACAAAAGGAATTGTTACATGACTGAATTGTTACACGTGCTTCTAACGCCATGTGCTGCGTGGATCTGCGCTTTCTATAAAAACCGTTATCTTTTATCTGCGTCTTAGGCCCACTGTCCACGGAGGCGTCGCTGCATCGGCGCGTATTAGATATTTTACGCTTACTGTACGCTTCATTGCCACGACAAGCGTCCACAAAGCGTCATTGTCGCGTTTTCGTCGCTGCATGCTTTCGTCACGAAGCCTGGCGTACGACGCTGTCGGTCGCGAGGCGTATTATAACGCGCGACATAGATTGTAAATATTTTTTTGTGAGATTTCTGTATATTTATTACACTATGTCGGTTACGATATTTGTTCAAACTATTGAAAAATATCCTTGTTTATACAATAATACTTTATCAAAATATGCAAGGAAGAATATTACCGATAAAGCATGGAATGAAGTAGCGGCTGTAATGAAATGGTCAGGTAATATAAAAAAAAAAACATTTATTCATTATTTATACAATAAGTCCATTGCCATGGCAAGGCGACATTTGGCTGTAAAAAGTAGTTAGCTAAGTAATTACGTAAACCTAAAGGAGAAGGTACGAAATTCATATTTGGTTGTAAATTTGGTATATTTCTGACTCTTGCAAAGTTTATGTTATTATTTTCGTTTGTTGTATATGGAATCCCATCATTTTTACGTATGTAATTAAGAAGAATATAGGCGCATTTAACTATTGAAATTATAGTTTCATATTTACGACATGTTATCGATTTTAAAAATACTTGAAGTTTTTGTGTCATCATTCTGAATGCATTCTATACTTTTTCGTCCACGACTCAATCTATAATTAAATATTCTTTTTACATTATTAAGATCTCTCGAAGCATAAGGTCTCATTAAATTCCTTCTTAGAGGAAACGCGTTATCACCAACAAAATAGTACGGAAATTCATTTCCAATTTCATCATAAGGTAATCGTGATGTAGTAGGAATATTCAAACCGTCCCTTTCTAACCATTGCCCTAAAGCTGACATACGAAATACATCACCATCACTATTTCTTCCAGCAGAACCACATTCAATGGTGATAAAATAGCCATCTGCATCACAGCATCCGAGTAAAATAATAGAATGATATCCTTTAAAATTATAATTAGCAGATCCTGTGTTTGGGAATTTTTGAATTCTTATACGCTTGCCATCAATAGCTCCCAAACAGTTCGGAAGATTTCAAAGTTCAAAATATCTTCTTGCAATTCTCTTCCATTCATTTTCAGTCGGTACAGCCATATAATTTTCTTTTAATGCGTTCCATATAACCTGCGTTGTTTCTGCGATAATTCTTGATATTGTACATTCTCCTCTTGCAAAATATAATGCTAATACTCTAAATGGACAGTCAGTAGGTAAATACAGTAATGCTTCGAAATAAGCAAGTGGTCTCTGTTTCGAAATAAGCAAGTCGCTATCCCCTCTTCTTTGTTTGAAGTCGCCCGCAAAGTGAGAGGTACGAGAAACGAGTGAGAGGTCCATGAAAGCGCGAAGCCGATGTTTAGGGTAATAAATTTCACGCTCGACTGAACAGTGACATCGGTTAGTAGAAAAAGGATGGAATATATATAATGCTTTCTCAGTCTGGTATATTTGCTTCGAAATAAAGCATAGTGCGAGAATGAGAGGGCATGCTATATTCTATCCTTGTTCAAAAAATAACATCGCTGCTCAGCCGATCACTTTATGATTTGCCGCTACCTCGGATCTCTCACTCGTTTCTCGCGTTCTCTATCGTCCCGTTTCGAGAACAAAATCAAGCCGAATAGCTACCTGCTTCGAAATAAGCAACTGTTCGGTCCCGAGCCACTTGCTTATTTCGAAGCATTACTGTACCTGTGTGAAGTCGCGGAGTTCTCCCTCTCACCGAGTCCTCTGCGCACTTTGTATAATTAAATCTAAGCTTTGATTTGGTAGAGGTTCTTACTTACCTTTCGCTGGGCGAGGATACCTGTAGAGATGAGTCGTCTTGGTTAGTGGAGACGGTAGGGTAGATGGTTTAATTGAAGTTCACGCACTTCCGATCACAACAAATGTTTATTTGGTTCGAGTACAGTCCTTAACTTGCGCGCGTTTTACGAATGAGGTTTGCTCTGTCGGATCCTTGAGTTCCGTAGCAGAGTCGTACTTCGCGGATTTCGGTACGCGTACTGGAATTTGAATCCCGGGTTTGCGCTAGACGGACTGGCCGATTCTGAACGAATTTTCGCGGATTGCTTAGGTGATCTGATCACGACAACTTCTGAGTCTGCACTAAGTTTATACTGTTCTGTCTACACTGGTTCTGTACTGCTTCTGCGCGATATTGGATCTGGTCGCGAGCGGGCTTGGTCGCGTTATTATATATTGATGGGCGAGGTCAATCGTTTGGTTGTCAGTTCGGGTGAACCACCTGGTTCGGATTGTCAGCGTTCTTGCGATACGTTGGCCCGAACGAGTTGCTCACTCAGACTTTTCGAAACTATGAATTCGAATAATGAAATAAGAGTTTAAAGAATGTGGATGGCGAAATAAGGGTTCCAAGAATGCGTCACAGGACGTGACACCTGAAAGAAAAATTGTAATTTATTAATTTATAAATTAATTACATCCTCCTCCAGTGACTGACTGCAAAGAAAGATGGAAGAACATTAGGAATGGATTTGTGAGAAGCCTGAAACAACCGCCTAGTGAATCTTCTGCCAAGCAAAAGAAACAGTATTATTTACATGATGTAATGCAATTTGTTTTACCTTACGTCAAACCAGTAGCTCATACAGTTACAACTGGAAATCTACCCAATCCTTCTCACGATAACAAGTTAATGGATGAAATAAATGAAGTAAATGAACAATCAAATGAAATACAAAGTGAAGAAGAAATTTACGAGAGTACGTCGGAATCTACCAATCAATCAGTTAGTAGTCAGACATTCAAAAAACCCTTCAAAAAGATTAAACCTTGTGATAATGAAGTAGACAAAGCTTTTGTTAATTATTTGCAAGAAAAGAAAAAACCAAACAACGAAGATCACAGAAAAATGTTCCTTGTTAGCTTGTTACCAGAAGTAAATAAACTTTCCGATGAGCAAATGCGAGAATTTAAAATTAAAGTGGTAATGTTGCTTGATGAAATTCTGACACGACCGCGACAAGATCAAGCTTCTACGCAGCAAATAGTTTCAAGAAATCAGATAAGATCTGAATGAATACAAGAGTACCGAAATTTTTCACCAATTTCGTCCACAGAATCGCACGTCTCACAACATGCATCAACTGCTTCACCGAATTTTACATTTTTACAATGTACTAATACCGATGAAATTAATACACAATCTGATACTTCTAATATTACTAGAGAATTTTATTCTTTATAAGGAATTAAACTTATAATAAATATTACTATGTATAATTATTTTACTTACCTCAATGTTATTAAAATTCTCTCTTCAGGACTAACACACTGTCGCATATTTGTATCTTGTTTTTGAATAAATGGTCCTATTATTTTCACTAAATTTTGATAGGTATTTTTGCTCATTCAATAAAATGATTTAAACACAGAATCATCTTCATTTAATTCCCTTGCAGCGACAAAGAGTCTGCAATTTATATTTTTTTCTATGTATTGATGTATCCATTTTTTTCTTCTTCTGCGCTGTTGAATATAATTATATAACACGATTAGGTCTTCCTCATCACTCGACATCTTTTTAAATGAAATCAAATAAATATTTTTTTGTTCTTTTACGCTCAGCGTGCGCTTAGTGTACGCTTCGTGAAAAGAATATTATCGAGGGCGTATCGTCACGTCAAATACGCTTTATTGATGCGTCTATGCGATGACGCTCCGTGGACAGTGGGCCTTACTTCGCAATATGTATATAGCTTCCTCTCGTAGCGAGAGATGTCGCTACTAGCGTAAATATAAATTTACCCATCACTCAACACACCTCTTTAAATTTATATTTCTTTTAACATTTTAAACCTATTAATTTCTTTACATTAACATTTAACATTCAGAACTTACAAACTACTTTACATTAATATTAATAAACTTACAAGCTACTGTACATTTAACATATCTCTAAAGGGTCTAGCCGTATAAGCATAGTGAATCGGCCCCAGTAACAATTTCGGTTGATATTGATATCACATATTGCTTTTTGCCTAAACAACAATTGTGTGCAATTTCAACCCCCTACCCCCTCTGATAAGGGAGATATGAGGATAAAACCCAAAACCTTTACCATTTTTTTTCTCGGAAACTATTTAAGATATTTGATCACGTTAAAGTGCAAATAGTAGGTATTCATTAGTTGTATATCATATTTTTTTTTCAAAATTTTTATTCGATGATTAAGGGTTGAAAATTAATAAATAAATCTTTGAAAATGATTTTTATAAACAATCCCTTGGATGACACCCACCGAAAAAATTAAGAATAATCCTTTACTATTTAACTATTATCTGTAAAAATTTCAAGAGTGTCGGATTGGTACATCATAGTTAAAAATAAATAAAACCAATGCAACGCCCTTTCATAAGGCAAAGCCGGCCTGAACGTTAGAGGCGCTCAACCTAACCGACCTACAGGGGAATACGTAGCGCCGACCAGCCACGTTTCTCGTACCAGAAACAGCTCTCAGAAAAGTATGAGCTCTTCTTTCCCTAAACTGTGTGTTAATTAACAGTCATTTATTTAAATAATATATTAACAATTTAAATTTTTTAATTAACTTTTCTGGTTTTAATTTTTAATGTCCGTGTTTTCACGGTGTTTCTCGTTTTAAGTATGTGGGAGCCCTAAAAAGAGCTGATTATGTTGTACGTTACAAATGGCACCCTTATATAAATGCAACTAAGGTGTTCCTCGTTTTAAGTATGTGGGAGCCCTGAAAAGGGCTGATTATTAAGCCCTAAAAAGAGCTGATTGTGTTATGTATTGTCAGGTTGAAGTATATGATTTGAAACAGAAAACACAAAAACTTTTTTTAAAAAAACACGCTTGTAAATAAATTTTAATCTTCGTCGCTATTTTCATCAATAACTGGAATAATGTTAGTTTTGTCAAATAAGTGAGTTAAAATTTCGGACGGTTTAACTATTCTGGATTTATAACGCGCATGGGATAAATAATAAATGATCGCGACGACGTGGGAGCAACAACCTACCGTTCTGTTACCATTCGGACAATCGCATGCATATTGGTTTATACCCGCGTAACTATTTACGTTTGATTTGTATTCTATGTAACAATTGTAAGTTTTACCGTTTATATGTCGCGACCGAACTTTCATTTTTATAATGTTATTGTTTTGTTGTAAATATTGTACATTTAACGCGTCATGTTCGTCCAATAATTCCGCAAGATAACGTTTTTACCGCGAGATTTTAAAGTTTGCAAATTCTATCCAATTAACGACTCCTCTATATTCGGCAACAAGAGGGAACAAGACAGTGGACACTAAAATCATGGACTCAGGATCGTACGCTTTACCCTTTATGATGCGTTTATTTACACGCCAATTTAGGCTCCGTGATTGCGTAAAAAAGTATCAGGGCATATAAACCGCATTGGAAAATACACCATTTGTACCATAAAACGCGCTTAACTCTTTTCTGGACACCCATATACTTAAAACGAAGGTCACCTTAATTACAGCCATTTCCAGGTAGTACTGGTACGCTATAATATAATTAACCCTTTTCAGGGCGACCATATACTTAAAACGAGGAAACTCTTAGTTACAACTATTCACAGGTACCAGCTACAATTTAATTAAAAGTAATACGTACGTGAAAAGGTAAAGACGGAAATAGTTATAGAAGTCTATGTTCTTTACAGCGTTGAATAGAATGATATTGCATTTATAACTGTGATACCTTCTTTGACTATTAAAAGGACAACTAATGGCATCTAACACAGTGCCATTGTTCAAGACATGATATAAATCTGTGATTTAGGGCTCCCACATACTTAAAACGAGAAAGACTGTGAAAACACGGACGTTAAAAGTTAGGACCAGAAAACTTAATTAAAAAATTTAAATTGTTAATATATTACTTAAATAAATGACTGTTAATTAACACACAGTTTAGGGAAAGAAGAGCTCATACTTTTCTGAGAGCTGTTTCTGGTACGAGAAACGTGGCGGGTCGGCGCTACGTATTCCCCTGTAGGTCGGTTAGGTTGAGCGCCTCTAACGTTCAGGCCGGCTTTGCCTTATGCATTGGTTTTATTTATTTTTAACTATGATGTACCAATCCGACACTCTTGAAATTTTTACAGATAATAGTTAAATAGTAAAGGATTATTCTGAATTTTTTCGGTGGGTGTCATCCAAGGGATTGTTTATAAAAATCATTTTCAAAGATTTATTTATTAATTTTCAACCCTTAATCATCGAATAAAAATTTTGAAAAAAAAATATGATATACAACTAATGAATACCTACTATTTGCACTTTAACGTGATCAAATATCTTAAATAGTTTCCGAGAAAAAAAATGGTAAAGGTTTTGGGTTTTACCCTCATATCTCCCTTATCAGAGGGGGTAGGGGGTTGAAATTGCACACAATTGTTGTTTAGGCAAAAAGCATTATGTTATATAAATATCAACCGAAATTGTTACTGGGGCCGATTCACTATGCTTATACGGCTAGACCCTTTGTCACTCTTGATCGATCAATCGTAAGTACATGATCGGGAGCCCGTGTGTCCGAGAGACAGAGTTATTTGGAAGTTCGCGATATTTTCTCTGCGGTAAAGTCCTCCGCGTAGCGAGGCAGAGTGCCGTGCGAGTTAAAATAATCGGAATTCTGGATAAGGACTCATAGACGCGCACGTAAAATCTTCTCTCTCCCTAAATTTCTATCTTTTCTTTCTGATTTTAAATCGTTTGCTCGCGTAGTAATTTCGTATTAACTTCACTCCGCGTAAATCATATATTGATCGTTTTCGTGATAAATTGTAATTAATCGTAAATCGTTATTCGTTTGTCTCTCGTCGACGTACTCGTCCGTTTTAATTCGTTTTCGCCGCGACAAGTGCAGTGATCAACGTCTTACCGTTTCTTTGGTGTTCCAGATCATCAGGCGAATACAGAGATATCTAGAAAACGAATATATTATAATCTTGTTTCGCATTATACAGCGTAACGGTAAGTCGTTTCAATTACGTTTTTCGATCACGACGTTCATTGATTGGCAAAACGGGCGATCTGGTCCAGCCCTTCAGGGTTACGAGAATTCCTCAGGTCAGATCGTTCCACCGTACGAGGTATCGATATCATTCAATACTAAATATTATTTTCCGTTTATTACAATTTCGAAAATTCAGTTTCTTTCCATCATCCGAAGGACACCTTAGTCCAGCTCTTTCGGGAGTTACGAGAATTTCTCAGGCTAAGGTGTACCGCGGGCGGAAACCGCCAATCGTATAGTTAAATTTGGAAAGCGAAATTGTTATAATCATTTTTACGCGCCCGATAATATACTCGTCGGTTTCAAATGTGATATCAGAGTGTTTTATATTCATATATGTATATACCTTGTTAACTAATCTTAAGCATCTTTATACTTGTTCACCTTTTTGCAGAACTGGTAATTTTCAATTTAACGAAATTTCTAAATTATTGAACTCACACTTTTGGCTATTATCTGATTTTCACTCACGATTAAACCAGTTTCATTTAGTTAAACAGTTTCCATTTATTTCGAACACACCTCACACGTTACAGTTAAAACACGTCTACCAACATACCCAGATTCAAGGAGGGTCCCGTACGGGACTAAGCGTTGAACGAACCCAATGGAAGGCTAATACTTATAATCTTTTAACATCTTATCAATTTTGTCTTTCATCTTTTAATTTGTCGAGAGCGTTAACACGCTCGAGACTGGTGGCAGCGATACCAACCATCGCGCTAAAATAGGGAAGCAGGAATTAGGGGTTGAATTCCAACCAATTAATTGAAATTTAACTATCTATATCTCCACTTATTATCTTTCCTTTTTACGTTGCGCCGTCGCACGCGCGCAACGTAACAAGGGTGAAAATTTTTCTTGATAATTGACAATTCTGTTGAGAGCTCTGGTTGCCCCCCAAAGAGTTCTATCAATTATCCTTAACAACCATGTTGGCATGAGATCCCTATAGGCCATGCATTATTATTAAGTTGGCCACCCTCTTTTTCATTTTAGGTTG